CTCCATAACCCATAATGCACAGCGCATCGGCCTACGGCAGCTGGATTAGTCCAAAAGGCGCAGTACTTTTTGCGGTTGAGTCTGGTTTAGTTTGGATCATATTCTCACCACAAACAAACTGCTCCAGGTTTTGTTAGAAAGCGGGTCTTCAAGCAGGTCTCGGTATGCTTTTTTGGTCCACTTTTGGTGCGCACTCGAGTTCGATTGCTGCATTCTCACCTGCCCAAACGAACTGCACCAAGAGGGAAAACGAACTCTAGTGCGATTCAATCGAACTAAATAAGGCAGGTGTGAAAGCACCCTTATTCTCAAGTGGTTCCAACCCTTTATAAGCTACTTTTATTCTGTTGAACACAAAAGAAGATAGTTTAAAGAAAGATGAAAGCTTGTAACCATTGATCTGTCAGTTTTAAGTATAGTACATTTTTTAGAGCAGGGATGGCCAACCCTGTTCCTGGAGAGCCACCTTCCTGCAGATTTCAGTTGCAACCCATATCAAACACACCTGCCTGTAATTATCACATGGTGTTCAGGTCCTAAGTAATTGGTTCAGGTGTGTTTGATATGGGTAGCAACTGAAATCTGCAGTATGGTGGCTCTCCAGGAACAGGGTTGGCCACCCCTGTTTTAGAGGCTTGTTAATTTGTAAGAATTTGTAAATTTTTTTGTTGTAAGTGTAATTGAATTTGAAGCTTGTATGTATCATGTTTTGGTTTACTATGTTTACATTTACATTTAGTCATTTAGCAGACGCTTTTATCCAAAGCGACTTACAAATGAGGGCAAGGAAGCAACTTACACAACTATAAGAGCAACAATGAATAAGTGCTGTAGGCAAGTTTCAGGTCTGTAAAGTCTAAGAAGGAAAGTATTAGTACTTTTTTTTATTTAATTTTTTTTGTGTACAGTTAGTGTGATATCCAGAGAGGCAATTGCAGATTAGGAAGTGTAGTGGAGACTAAATAGTTGAGTTTTTAGTCGTTTCTTGAAAATAGCAAGTGACTCTGCCTTTCTGATGCAGTTCGGGAGTTCATTCCACCAACTGGGCAGATTGAGCGTGAGCGTTCGCGAAAGTGATTTCTTCCCTCTTTGGGATGGAACCACGAGGCGACGTTCATTCACAGAACGCAAGTTTCTGGAGGGCACATAGATCTGCAGAAGTGAGAGCAGATAAGAAGGAGCAAGGCCAGAAGTCGCTTTGTAGGCAAACATCAGAGCTTTGAATTTGATGCGAGCAGCAACTGGCAGCCAGTGCAAACAGATGAGCAGCGGAGTGACATGTGCTCTTTTAGGTTCATTAAAGACCACTCGTGCTGCTGCGTATTTCATTTTATGTTTATTTGATAGGGGCAATGTCGATTAATTTATGGTAAAAAAAAAATAGCCAGTTGATACAGAATTATCTGCAGTCCCATGGTAAAATAGTCACCTGTTACGTTTTTAGGGTGACTAATTTACCATGGGACTGCAGATAATTCTGTATCAACTGGCTATTTTTTTTTACCATAAATTAATCGACATTGCCCCTATCAAATAAACATAAAATGAAATAAAAAGACAAACAAATACTATAAAAGTCAATGGTTAAAGGTTTACATTTTTTTTTTTTTTTGATGTTCAAAAGAAGAAAGCAACAGATTCAGAACAAGTCAAGGGTGAGTAAATGATGACAAAATGTTCAGTTTTGGGTGAACTGTTCCTTTAAAACTAAATTCATTCATTTGTTTTTCTTTAGCTTAGTCCCTTATTTAACAGGGGTCGCCGCAGCGGAATGAACCGCCAACTATTCCAGCATATGTTTTACGCAGTAGATGCCCTTCCAGCCGCAAAACCAGTACTGAGAAATATAAACTAACTGGACAGCAGATAAACAATTCACACAAACATTAACTTCAGAACTGTAACTGCGTTTCCCGTAGTACATTATATATTTGAGAACATTAACCACATCAGAATTTATTCATGCTTTTTGGCTTACATGACGCACATTCAAAAAAGTGCCCAGAGCAGCCCTTAATAATTGCTCCAATTCCTGGAAATCAAGCCAGGCTTTTCCTTTCATTCATTCAATTTTCAGGAACCCTAAAAGTATAGATTATGATTGCATTTAGTCAAGAGTCATACCGTACTTTAATCTCCTTTCAGCTTCAGTCATAGGCACAGAAACATGGGAAGCCATGAACACAAGCTCACAGAAAGAAATCTGGCTTTCTGAAGGTCAAGTTTGGTGACCTCTGACCTGCAAAGAATCTAAACATCAAAGAGCGACCTCTACGCTTAAAGGGTTACTTCTCAACTAAATGAAAATCCTGTCATCATTTACTCAACCTCACGTCGCTCCACACTATAAGACTTCTGTTCATCTTCAGAACACACAAGAAGATTAGACCTTTTCTCTTTTGAAAGTATATTCAAGGCAGCATGGTGGCTCAGTGGTTAGCGCTGTCGCCTCTTAGCAAAAAGGTTCGAGTCCCGGCTGGGAGTTGGCATTTCTATGTCGAGTTTGCAAGTTCTCTTTGTGTTGGCGTGGGTGTCCTCCGGATGCTCCGTTTTCCCCCACAGTCCAAACACATGCGCTATAGGGGAATTACATTAACTAAATTGGCCGGAGTGTATTAATGTGTGTGAATGAGCGTGTAATGGTGTTTTCCAGTACTGGGTTGCTGCTAAAAGTGCATCCGCTACGTAAAACATGCGCCACAATCTTGTGCATGGTATGAATATGCACAGTAACAGTAGTGCTACATTGCTGGAGATAGAACAAGGCTGCAGGTAGAAGTCTGCTGTAAAGCTTAACTTATAGGCTCCGAAAGCAGAATTGATAAAAAGTGTAACATTTTGATAGGGACTAAATGGTTTATATATAGTTATTACACTGCTGTCTGGAATTTTTGATTCTGATTGGTCAGTCGCAGCATTCCAAGGTATGTTATTCCAAGATAACAACCGCTGAAGCTAATAGCACAGGTTCATTCGAGTACTTTGAATCACCTCAACCATCAGTAAATACATCTGCATCCATACTTACAGTGCATGCTTGTCTGCCATAGTTTTTGACTGTTTGGTGCCATCTTGTGCATAGGTTAGTGTATGCTTCCATTTTCGTTGTTGCCATCTTTGCCTTCAATGAAATAATTGACAAACTATTACGACTCAGTACAATGTTTGTGTGTAATTCTTAGATTTTGTTGCAAGTATCTTTGTAAAAAGCTGGATAAAGTACACCCAGGCTGTATTTATTGTTAAATATTACATGGCTGTCTAGAACAGTCTATTCTGATTGGTCAGTCGTGACATTCCAAGATATGTTATTGCCAAAAAACGACCGCTAAATAAATGCAGGCTTATCCGGGAATTCAAATCCCCTTGACCTTCACTGTCATAGTTTTTGACTGTTTGGCGCCATCTTGTGATTGAATAGTACGTAGGTTAGTGTATGCTCCATTCAGCCATTTTTGTTGTTGTCAGCTTTGCCTTCAATTAAAGTATTAATACACTATTACGACTCAGTACAATGTTCGTGTCTAATTCTTAGGTTTTGTGGCAATTATCTTTGTAAAAAGCAGGATAAAGTACATCCAGGCGGTTGTAATTGCTAATTATTACATGGCTGTCTGGAATACTCGATTCTGATTGGTCAGTCGTGATACTCCGAAGTATGTAATTCTCAAATAATGAATAACTAAAACATTTAATTTGTATCTGTTGTCTGTAACGGCACTGTTCTTGACTGTTTGGCGCCATCTTGTGACTAAATAATGTGTAGGTTAGTGTGTGCTTCATTCAGACATTTTTGTTGCTGTCAGCTTTGCCTTTAATGAAATAATTAATAAACTATTACGACTATTACGAATGTTTGTGTCTAATTCCTAGGATAAAAACAATTATGTGGCAAGTATCTATGGATAAAGCAGGATAAAGTACATCCAGTTGGTTGTGATTGTTAAATATTAAATGGCTGTCTGGAATACTCGATTTTGATTGATCTGTCGTGACATTTCAAGACATTTCACGCTCATCCGGGAATTCGAATCACCTTGACCTTCACTCTCAGTGAATTTGTGAAAATCCATATGCTTAAACATTTATATGCATCTGTTGTTTGTTTTGCCAGTTTTTGACTGTTTGGCGCCATCTTGTGATTAAATAGTGCCGAGGTTAGTGTATGCTCCATTCAGCCATTTTTGTTGTTTTCAGCTTTGCCTTCATTTAAAGTAATAATACACCATTACGACTCAGTACAATGTTTGTGTCTAATTCTTCGGTTTTGTTGTGTCTATGTAAAAAGCAGGATAAAGAACATGTAGGCTAAATATTATATGGCTGTCTGGAATCCTCAATTCTGATTTGTCAGTTGCAACATTCCAAGATACAGTATGTTATTCCCAAATAATGACCGCTAAAATGTTAACATCCACATACTTAAACATTTATTTGTAAATAATATTTGTAATGCTCGGCTGTAACGTCACAGTTTTTAACAGTTTGGCGCCATCTTGTGACTGAAGGTAGTATTCTTTATTCAGCCAGTTTCGTTATGGTCAACTTCAGTCTTATACAACAGTGTTTTGCTTCACATCAGGCTTCCCATAAGCCTGTCGGTACTGGATGTACTTTATTCCTTACATATTGACCTTATTCTTCAGCGCGAAAGTGTGGTCATTTTGCAATTGTTGTAGAACTTCTGATCCAGTAGCCTAGGGGAGAAATGACTAGAAATAATAAACGACAGAAAACGGTCAAACTACTTGCTCTACAAACAAGTGTGTTCATGACTATACATAAAAAGCAGAATAACATATTAAGAAAATATCAGTTTCCAACATCCAGCAGCATAACGAGCTGTTTTTTAAGTAATTAAGACCAGACGTCTTGAGCCAAAAAAGATTCCAATGGCTGCGCCCACTTGTACATCAAGAATAAGGTCAATACAATGGTGTCAGCAAAAATGTGCCTGCGACAGTGACAGTGTTTGACTTCTCAATCTATCTTTCTCATAGGCTGACAGGTAATGAACCCCTGTCCATTCTGCCACTGACCTCACAGCCAGACGAAAGGGCGGGAAAATCGCACTACAAGCTGTGTGATCGACTCAAACTGGAGAAGAAGCAGCGCAGAATGTGCCGACGGGACCCTGGCGTGGCCGAGACGCTGATGGAGGCGATCAGCATGAGTGCTTTAGAGTGCCAGTACCAGTTTCGCTTTGAGAGATGGAACTGCACGCTGGAGGGCCGATACAGGGCTAACATTTTAAAGAGAGGTAAGTTGAGTACTATCTATCAAATGCTAACAATTGATGTTGACATGTGAATAAACATTAACAATGGCTGTGTCCGAAAATCTGCAAAATGCTACCTTCGAAGGATGCGTTCCAAGGTAGGAAGACGTCATCAAGACATGTCTGAATTGAACTTTACTTCATTTTTTTTTCTTGAGAAACATTTTTCTCATAGGTGCCAATTGCACGTCCTCCAGAAGGCAATCTAGCAGCTAGCTCTCAGCAGCTGTCACATGGTTGCCCACTGAAGCCAAGCAGGGCTGCACCTGGTTAGTACCTGCATGGGAGACTACATGGTGAAACTAGGTTGCTGCCAGCAGAGGTGTTAGTGAGGCCTGCAGGGGGTGCTCAAGCTGCGGTCTGTGTGGGTACTAATGCCCCAGTATATGGATGGGGACGTTATACTGTTCAGTTAGCATAGTCCTTTGCATGAGACCTTAAACCAAGGTCCTGACTCTCTGTGGCCGTTAAACATCCCAGGATATCCTTCAAAAAGAGTAGGGGTGCATCTCTGGCATCCTGGCCCACTGGCCTCTGTCCATCATTGAATCCTAACCATCCCCATATTATAATTGGCTTCATCACTCTCTGTCCACCCTACCAATAAGCTGGTGTGCGGTCTGCCACAATCCGAGTAGATGCTGCAGAAAAGTGTACGGCTGCCGCATGTCCTACCACAGTTTCACACTGTTTTTTTTTTGGTATTTTGGTTTTGTTTTACATAGGTTTTGGAACCGTTCTTTGCCAGACTTGACCCTTGTACAAGGCTAGCTATTAAGCAAACTGATCTGCTAAAATGCTAACTTTTTAGCATCTTTTTCCAAAGACACAACCGTCTCTATAAAATACATATTGAACATAAATATGTCAATAACCAGTAAGAAAAGTGTCTGGACCAGTTGTATGTAATTTTTGCGTGATTTTAGCGACTAAACTTACCTAAAATTAGTGAAAACAGCCGCATGCGAGACGTGCTGTTGACTGTGTCGTTGCTCCGTTTCCATAACAACGCTCTCTGCTGCAGTGCTTGAATGAGGCTCGGCAAATAGCTTAGAATGACCAAGAGGCGACACTCAATAGAACGTTCCATTGCAACAGCAGCGCCCAGCAACAGCCCCGGATTCCGCCATTTTGGAGTGAAAAAGTTCGGCCGTCCATTGGATCTCATAACTGTCGCGATGGCAAGCAGCTGCTTTGTTTTTTATTTATTTATTCAAAAAGCGCATTAAAGTTGAGATACAACCTGAAAGACGACAATACAACAGGTATTATCGAGACAGCACTTTTAATGGTTTATTTTACAGACTTATAATATGCAATTTGTTCTATTGGAGTTTTCATTCCAAAATGGCCGCCACACCCTCTAGTGGCTGTTTCTCAAATTACACCAGAGTGTCACCTCTTGGTCATTCTAAGCTCTTTGGGCTCGGTAAAGGACACTTTAAAGTAACGCAGCATTTACATAAACATTTAAAAAATTCATAAACAATTTTAATAATGACATTTTATATCAAATCTTGATTTTTAAACTTAGTTATAATTTGTTATATTTAAAACGTCTTGCAGTATTTTTATACTAAACTTTTCTTTTATTAATAATCAAATTTTTATTCAGTGCCTCAACAACAAAAGTACATATATCAGGATGTCAGGATGGCCGAGCGGTCTAAGGCGCTGCGTTCAGGTTGCAGTCTCCTGGAGGTGTGTGTTCAGAAGTGTGTCCACTTCTGACAAACCTAATCTTTGGCGAGGCAGTGGAGCAGTAGGTAGTGCTGTCGCCTCACAGCAAGAAGGTTGCTGGGTCGTGGGTTTGAACCTCGGCTCAGTTGCCGTTTCTGTGTGGAGTTTGCATGTTCTCCCTGCCTTCACTTGGGTTTCCTCTGTGGATGCTCCGGTTTCCCCCACAGTCCAAAGACTGATGGGTTGCGGCTGGAAGGGCATCCGCTGCGTAAAAACTTGCTGGATAAGTTGGCGGTTCATTCCGCTGTGGCGACCCCGGATTAATAAAGGGACTAAGCCGACAAGAAAATGAATGAATGAACATATATCAGGTACAGAACAGCCTACAACATCAAAAACACAACCGGGTGGGCCATCGGTTTTCCACTGGTGTCCCGCATTTTTAGAACGGGCGGCTTGCCACTAGTGGGCCGACTACGGTCCGCTCGTATCAAGCTGCTGAATTCGTGCCGCCCAAAAAACGCCGGCGCTCCGCCAACTCATTGTTTGCTGGTATTATACTAAAAATTACACCAATATGGAGGTAAGCCGTCAGTAATAGTGTAGAAAGGAGCAGCATCAAACTACCCCGTAGCATTCGTTTTACACATAAAATGCAGCCAGACGTACTTATTAGCGGTTTATCAACTATGTAGCCCTGGGCACGTATCCCCCAATGACCTTGTGTTGTCCATTTCAGGCAGTTGAGCTAAAATAAAGATGGCATCTGAAAGCTCTGCTTGAGTTTCTTTTTGTCCGTAAATGCACGTTTTTGTCCAATTTATTCCAATTTTGATATATTTCTTACAAACTATGGTAGTAAGCAATTATTCCCTCAGTTGTCATCAAAGCTCTCACTAGTTTTTTTTTCTTTTGTTGTACAGGATTAAGTTGTTTGCTGTCTTAGAAGTATGTCTTAAGTCAGTATTGTGAGGTGCCTACATGTACAAGCACTACCTCCAAAGTCAATGCTTGGTAGGGCATCGAGGCAACAAGTCAGCTGTCTTAAGCTTTCGAACGCAGCCTGCTTTGATGCTGAAACAAGCCTTGGTTTGCCTCACACATCTCACATCTTTGTTGGCTCCCTCTAATGCAAATATTTTAATGCATGTTCTTTCCTGTGATGGCAAGCTTTATCAGTAGCCATGAATTCAGTCCTCACTGTTACACAACTCTTAGGAGGTCATCATTATAAGTTGATTTACTGCTTGATTTAGTGCTGAATGTGCATATGGAACCAAAATGTGTAGTTGTGAAAGAGTTTTTAGGATTTATTTGAAAAGCTGATTGTTTGTAGAATAGTATTTATGTACAATATCCAAAGTTTTGATTAAACTGCTAAACAAAAGTTGGGTTGGTGCAGTTTCTAGCATTCCCTTTAGAAATTTAGTGTGCGCCGTGCCCCATTATGCTTGGTGTGAATTATGAAAATAACTTACAGTACATTAAGCTGTAAACAATCGGCGGTTAATTATTCTCTTCACAGTCCATCCACTGAATGTTATAAGACAGCAATTTAGAATTAACAAATTACTCTCAGCAGACCATAAAACTTGAAAATGAGTCTTTCTGCAGCAATAATACAGACATTTAGAGTATTACTGTACTGCAGGGAGTACAGAAATAATAAACAGAGACAATAACAAAACCCAGCAAAGCTTTGGCCACAGATTTGCTTGTGATATGTTAAAAAACCAAGCGCAACATTCACTTCATTATGGATAAAAATAAAGCCTAACATATCTCACACTTGGGCGACATGGTGGCTCTATAGTTAGAACTGTCGCCTTTCAGCAAGAAGGTCGCTGGTTTGATTCCCGGCTGGGTCAGTTGGTGTTTCTGTGTGGAGTTTGCATTTTCTCCCTGTGTTGGCGTGGGTTTCCTCCGGGTGCTCCGGTTTCCCCCACAGTCCAAAGATATGCGCTATAGGGGAGTTGAATCAACTAAATTTGCCGTAGTGTATGAGTGCGTTTGTGAATGTGAGAGTGTGTGGGTGTTTCCCAGTACTAGGTTGAAGCTGAAAGGGGATCAGTTGCATAAACATATGCCAGAATATTTGGCAGTTCATTCCCCTGTGGCAACCCCTGATAAATAAGGAACTAAGATTGTTAATGACTAACAATAATCCCCATATTCCTGACAGGCTTCAAGGAGACGGCGTTCCTCTACGCTATTTCTTCAGCGGGCCTCACCCACGCCATGGCCAAAGCCTGCAGTGCTGGCCGAATGGAGCGATGTACCTGTGATGAGGCTCCGGACCTGGAGAACCGCAAGGCTTGGCAGTGGGGAGGCTGTGGAGACAACCTCAAATACAGCAACAAATTTGTCAAGGACTTCCTGGGTAAGAGGTCAAACAAGGACCTCCGTGCCCGGATAGACATGCACAACAGCAATGTAGGAATGAAGGTAAGATATAGATATTTATTTTTCGTCTTCAGTAATGTTAGCATATTTCTATTTGGATTTTTTTGGACTCCGTTGGTAATGGAAACCACAGCAAATCTGACCTTTGAGTCTCGTTCATTAAGAATGAACCTTTTTTTGAGTCATTTCATTCAGTTTGCCAAAATATCATTAAAATGTTAGGAGTTGCTTCCAATTACATGTACAACTAGCCCAAACGTTGATCACATCCCTGCTGAAAAATCCAGCTAAAACCAGCCAACCAGGTTAAGCTGGTTTAAGCGGGATTTTTCAGCAGGGATTACAAACAAGTCCTAACTAGAATGCTATAAGAAAGAGTAAAACATAATTCATTGTTTATCTGGGTCTTTTATCTACAATTAGCTTAGCTCAGCATAGCTCTTCTGACAAAACAAGTCTTTGATTCAAGACAAGTTTGAGTCGTTCATTCGTGTGACACAGAGATAAGCTTAACCAATGAACACAGTCTGAGCCGGAAGGACCCTTGATTAGTTCACCTTTCAAATCTTCAGGTTATTGAGTCGTTTGTTCATCATGTGACAACATGGAAAGGGATGACTCAAACTCAAGACATGACTCGAGGAAAGCCCTTTCGAAAGGGTACCCAAAATGTGGTACGGTGCGGTTCACTTATTGGTATCTTTTGATGGTGGAAACATCCATAAAAGGGTACGGAACCGTACCGTACCATTCGGAGGAGACGGGCCATAAGTAGAATCTGAAGGAGCACTTGGTAATTACTGACGGTGTCGGTTTGATCAAGGCTGCAGCTGAAGTTTGCAGGAAGGTAGATCTCCAGGAACAGGGTTTGGCACCACTGATGTATTGCCATTACACAGAAGACATAGACGAAAAAGGTTTAACTTTGTTTTTGGCAAACAAAAGTGTTCTTGGAGCTTCGTATGATTTCAGTCGACCCCCTGAAGTCACATGGAATGTTCTAACAAAGTTTTTGGTTCCTTTTCTGGAATTTGAACGTCTCTGGATCATTGCTGTCAGTGGAAGAGATCTTGGATCACATCTAAAATATATTAATTTGTGTTCTGAAGATGAACAAAGGTCTCAGGGGTTCGGAACAACATGAGGGCGAGTAATTAATAACAGAAGAATCACTGACATCTCTGCCTTGTCTAGAAACTACATTTCACAACCTAACATGCATACCACGAATAATACAAGGAACAAGACTGTTCTTACACAAGACTGGATTTATTCCTGTCAAAAACGGCAGCGTACAAGGAGTATATGATCCAATTTGTTTGTGCGCTGACTTGAAGATTATAAGAATTTAAAGGAGGCAATGGCTGCTTGCTGGTGTTCTGTTGCAGGTCTACGACTTCTGAACTTTACCCTTGCCTGTGTCTTGTTTTCTATTGGCTCTAGGTTAAGCCAGATGAAACTCTTAATCAAAAACACATTTCAGAGTTTCAGACAGGACCAGATTTTTGCATTGTTTGAACACTTACAGGTTTTTCAGGTAATTTCAGGTACACATTCTATGCATTTACTAAAGTTATTGCAATGAATTATCAATAATTACAAGTAACTAATCCAAAACTAACCCATATTCTAACTCCAACAAAATAGTAAGTACATGTAATTAAAACAAAGTGTAACCTGATCTCAATATAAAGGCACAGTTTGCAAATAGATAGATATTTACACATGTATCATACAATATATCTTGCATATTTGATAATACACAGTACCAACTGTTGTGATGAACATCAAATTGTTTTGGATTTCAGGCATTTCCACAAAACTAAAATTGTCAAGTAGTTATGTAGGATGTTCACCAACTTATTAGGTTCTTTAAAGGTGCCATAAAAGGAAAAAATCTGAATATAGGCATGGTTAAAAGTTGTAATAAAAGTTCAATACATGAAAATGGCATACCTTTACTCATAATATCAGGTATGTGCACCCCAGGCTTTGTTTGATTGTTTCTTAATGGCATTACAACAATGCTAATTTTCCTTATTTTTTAAGTCTGTCAAAGCTTGTACTAAAATACTATGTATCGGAAAACGGGACTGGATTTATAGAGCTCTCATGGAGTATACATCTCCTCACAGCTCATCATTAGTACCCAAAACTACACATTAGACTTGAATGAGGCAACAGACATATGTAAAACACTGAATTTAAGTGTTTAATGCAGATTTATGCACTGTGTCATATCACCCGGCTCTTTCTTTGAATTTTCTGAAGATAAGATTTGCCAATAAAGACATAAAGATAGCTCACTCAGTCCATCAAACTACAACAAACCTCTCCACCACTTCAGATTGTAATTTAACAAGGAATCTACACCAATCATTTTGCATGTCAAAGTAAAGCTCATTTATATTCATGACCCTTTCAAATAAGGTCAAATCAGACCTCTCCGTCATAGGGGTAAACTCTAAGGTTCTAAATCGACTTATAATATTTTAATGGAGAATTTTGCACTTATCTAAGCTACATACCATATGTATATATAGAAAACAATTTGACATAAATCAATGCATTCTATGCCACCTTTAAGTAAACCTTAGAATAGATCTTAACTTGCTTAAATTGTCTATTTAATTCAATAGAATATAGTACTTTGTGATTTGGTTTTACTTTCAGTCTAAAGGCTGATTTATACTTCTGCATCAAACGCCGGTGTATGCTACGGCGCTGACGCATAGCCCTTCGCCGTGGCCTTCGGCGTCGCTGACGTGCACCTCTCAAAAAATGTAACTACACGTCGCAACAACGCGTAGCGCAAGCTCTGTGATTGGTCGGCTTGGTAGCGCTGACGAGTCTGGGCGGGACCGAGAGCCGCGCGAATGGCGCAAGCCTGATGGAGCGATTGTTTACAAGTGTGGAGTCCCATGAAGGAGCTCCGGATGGAAAGCTTTGTTTTGTGTTTACCTCATAGTCAAAGTTGTTGCACGTCTGCCGGTTCCTGCCTCAAAATGAGCGAGTTTGAGCCACTTGTACATCCAGAAAGTGTTCAGGAAAAGCAAAACAGCAGCGAAGAAACTCGACACAGAGGAACATTTACACCTCACTGCCAACTAGCGTTTCGGAAGCGTTAATGCAGACCAACAGAGACAGCGCGCAGAAGTATAAATGCACAGCCACGCGCGTTGCATGCACCGTGGGTTACGCCGGTCACTTGACGCAGAAGTATAAATCAGGCTTTACTTGTACTAAAATAGTATGTATCAGGAACTCTTATTTTGAATTTTATTTAAATACTGGAAAGTCTTTTTAATTTTTTTATGTTACTTTAACGTGTATATTGTAACATTTGCTGCTTATGTTTGTAATGAGGAAACAGACACATGTAAACTGCTAAATTTAAGTGTCCATTTGCATGAACTTGTACTAAAATACTACTGGGACTCTTATTTTGAAAATGAGACCGGCTTTATAGAGCTCTCATGGAGTCTTCATCTCCTCACAGCTCATCATTAGTACCCAAAACTACACATTAGATTTAAATGAAGCAACAGACATATGTAAAACGCTGAATTTAAGTGTTTAATGCACATTTATGCACTGTGTCATATCACTCTGCTCTTTCTTTGAATTTTTCTGAAGACAAGGGTTGCCAATAAACATCATAAAACTCATGTTTATTTAGTGGTTGCCATTAATTTCTGTATGAGTTTTCATATAGTAACTCCAAATATATCTGCTGGTCCCTTTTAAAAAAATATAATTAGCATATATGTCATCCGCAACAATGCAGGAGCAAACTAGGTTACTCTGTTAACATTGATAGCTTACTCACTCCATCAAACTAAAATAAACCTCTCCATCACTTTACATGGAAAGATTGTAATTTAATAAGGGCATGAATCATTTTGCATATCAGAGAAGAACTCATTAATATTCATGATCCTTCCAAATAGGGTCAAATCAGAGTAAATGGAGAATTTTGCACTTACCTACGCTACATACCACATGCATACACCAGAAAACAATTTAGCATACTGTTTCCAATGCATTCTATGGCACCTTTATGTAAACATTAGATCTTAACTTGCTTAAATTGTCTATTTAATGTAATAGTATATAGTGCTTTGTGGTTTTAGTTTTACGTTGAGTCTAAGAAACACTAAGCTTACCCATGTCTTCCTTTGTTTTTGGTAAGTGAAAGAGCCGAGGTAACACTGAGGCCCTGGTAAGAGTAAAAACAAAAAATGGAGGAACAGAAAAAGACCCATAGCAGAGAGCCAAAGTAAACTACAGGTCTGGCACCAACAGATTGTCCCATATTGTTAGTTTTAGTGTTAGAATGGATATAAATTACAACGCGGCTCAGGACTCTTTGCTCAGTCCATCTGAAGCAGTCGTCCTCAGGCCATTTTTTTTTCTCCGATAAGAGATTTACAGCACTGCATTTTTTGGTCCATCTGCACACGCAAGGAGGTGTAAGGGGTTTGGGGTCAAATCCCATATGGTGAACAAACCTGGAATGTGCTAGCCTCGGCATCACCTGCATTTTTAAAGCTGACATTACACATTTCCCCCTCCTTCCATTGTGGTAGATTTGCAGGTTTTGTTTTTTTGTTGAACGAGTCTACCACTTGTTCAACAGAAACAGTCCAGACAGCGACTTTTTGTGCTTATATTCAAGTTCACCTTCTTACAGAAATGGTGAAGGAATCAAACATTGTGGTCATTAATCCACTCTGCGTAATGTAAAATGTACAGTAAGTACTCTCAGTAGATCAGTTAAGATAGTTAATTTCTTTTGTTTGTTCTTTTGATTGTTCTTCCTCATGCACATGGTCAGAGTTATTTTTGAACCACATGCATGAGTTCCTGACCTTCAAATTGGATTTCTTTCTTATATATATATATATATATATATATATATATATATATATATATATATATATATATATATATATATATATATATGTATATACCTTGTTAAATTTATGTCACAAAGGATTAAGACAGTTCTGAAGGCAAAAAGGGGTTCTACTTTGTACTAGTAAGGTGTACCTAATAAAGTGGCCGGTGAGTGTTAATATAAATCTCCCGTTCCACCACATTCCAAGGTGCTCTATTGGATTGAGATCTGGTGACTGGAGGCCATTTGAGTACAGTGAACTAATTTTCATGTTCAAGAAACCAGTCTGAGCTGGTTCGCACTTTATGACATGGAGCGTTAAGGCCCGTGGCACACCGAGACATTTTTTGCTCGCGTTTTCCGTCAATGTTTAATGCCTCATGACTATATAAAGGCCGCCAATGTAATCATGCACACCAACGCGCAAAACGGCAGGCGCAAAAGCGTCATTTAAAAAAAAACGCCTCATGCTTGTTTTTTTTTTTTTTTTTGACGCGCCACGTTAAAACTTCCACCAATCAGGTTGGCACTTTTGTTCATGTGCATTGAGTTACTGCTATGTGATTGGTTAATTAGAAATTTGCATGTTAACGAGTGGTTGGACAGGTGTACCTAATAAAGTGGCCAGTGAGTGCACACGCGCACACACACACACACACACATATATATATATATATATATATATATATATATATATATATATATATATATCCTAAATTACATATTTTAAATCACAGCTTTTTGCTGATGGTATTTTTGATGAAGCCATAGATCTAGCCGTTCACTGTTTTAGTCACTGGAATAGACCTGCAGACCTGGCATGTTTCCATTTTGTTTCAAACCACAAATATTACTTCACCTCCATGTGAACAAATGGCAAGTTAGGGGCACCTGCGAATCATATAGAGCACCTGCTGCAGTATTTCAGCCACTAAAACATTGCAACCTTAGCCATATTAATAATTCTCTTCATGGTTATCCTGGGAATATGCTAATTATGCAATTTAAAAGTTTAAAAATGCTTTCCTTCTAGCCGAAATAAGACAAATAAGACTGCTTTCTCCAGAAGAAAAAATACAGGAAATACTGTGAAAAGTTCCTTGCTCTTTTAAACATCATTTGGGAAATATTTAAAAAGAAAAAGAGGGCTAATAATTTCGACTTCAATTGTATGTGATTGCTATCTCATTCTAAATTGCCCTGTTTAGTAAATCTTGGAGTGTTTTAGTCTCAATATCTAACTCTGATAAAAATGAATAGCAATCAACGAAGGAAAGCCTTGCGTTAGTGTCACGTCACATGAAACAAATTAGACGAGAATGAAGATAATACCCGATGCTCCTCAATGGCGTGTTTTGTTCCTCGTCTTCAGAAGGTAAAAGCAATCAAAATATGTGGGCACATCAAAGTCATCGCCTCAAAGTGCTTGTTTTGTAAATATCATCCGTTTAACCAACCTTTACAGATTCTTCGGGGGCAGCATGAGGGCACGGTAAACACCACACTCACCGTGTCTTTGATCTGGCACAGCTGAGCTCTGTGCTGTGTCTGCTGAGATAATTGGAGACGTAAATGTTGACGTTCGGTAAAATTCTCGACTAACATTCCTTTGATGTGTGTCGTCTCACTACTTTTAATATTCGTCCCGCACAGGTGATCAAGATGGGGGTCGAGACCACCCTAATTATCATTCTTTACCAAAACATTGCTGTAGTAGGAGATTAAATCTACATGTATGTATAGTTAAAGGTGCAGTAGGTGATTGTCTTCAGAAGCATGTGTTGTTGTGCTGGTTGAAAGTCTCTTCACAGTCCAATAGTAATGACTACAGTAAATGATCTAAATGTATTTATATGTATTTTTATATTCAGGGTAAAGCATAAAACTAAAAAATGTTCATCCAATTAAATCGAGTCGGACCAACATCTCCCATAATTCGGATAAGCAGCTCAGACTGTCTGTCAGCATATGTAGATTCAGACTTCTGCGCATCTGTTCACGCAGATCCGCCATTTGCGCGTGCCTGTCGGCATAAGCGGCCGTGCAGTCACTAGACAGACCTGGAGAAATCAAATGCTGAATTGAAACTTTTAAAAACCTGAATCAATATTGGAGTTACTTTAGCACGCTGGAGGAAGGACGACACCATGGCTGAGGTATCACTGTTAGACAGGTAATGCTGTTTTAAAACTATTTTAGTCAGGCTAAGCTTATGTTAGACTGTGTTGTGTTATGAATGGGTTATATGCACAGACGTGTTGTTCAGTCACTAAAATCTCGTGTTGAAAGATTGATGTGATTATTTTTTAGTTTCATAAAGTCCTTTTACAGCAGGGGTGTCAAACTCAATTCCTGGAGGGCCGAAGCCCTGCACAGTTTAGTTCCAACTAGGCTTGCCACGATAGACGGTGATATCGGTTTTAAGACGCAACACCGGTGACATCACTTTTCCACCGTGACAACGTCCTCACATTTGTTTTTTTCTAAGTATTCGTTTTTTTATTAAATATTTATTTGAATTAAATGGAAAATAGAATTCGTAATAATTTACTTAAGACCAGAGAGCATGCACTATAATTAAAATCTGAACATAGTAATTCGTCATATTTCATTTATCACGTGAGAATAAATATGCAAGGCATACTCTCATTTTACACATCACGCGATCATCATCTCACAATGTTTTATTTATCTTATTTATCTTTTAATTATTTATCTTTCTATTTTATTTTCTTATTCGTTTTAAAAACATTCTAACATTCATCATATTCGTCCATTCAAACAATTGACGCCGAATTGGCAATTCCCGCAAAACTGAAAGTATTATACGCCCGCATTTATAAGCTATTTAAAAGCAGAAAGAAAAGAGGAAACCCCCACCCCCACGGTGATACCGGTATTACCGGTGTTGTCACATGTCGATTAACCGGTGGGGAAATTTCCTCATCGTCACAACCCTAGTTCCAACCCTGCTCCAACACACTACCTGTAGGTTTCAAACAAGCCTGAAGGACTCAATTAGTTTGATCAGGTGTGTTTAATTAGGGTTGGAACTAAACTGTGTAGAGCTGCGGCCCTTTTGGAACGGAGTTTGATACCTGTGTTTTACAGCATCGATAATGTAGATTTATATTTAGTTTAACAACAAAACATTAGTAAATAGTGCTATTCCGCCTAACCTGCTTTACTGAGCTGAAGTTGCTTTTATATTCACATTGGGTCATTTTTGAACAATGACAGCCTCCCTATACTGTTTACCATGCTACTCTGAATATTCGCTCTGAAATAGCATGTAAGTGTGGCAAAGTAATATATGTAATTCCTGCACGCCGCTGGCACTAACTAACAGGCGAATGACATGAACTAGTGGGTTGTCTGTCTGCTGTTGTGATGCGGTAGTTGCGCGCTCGCGATTTCAGGGGGTGTGGCTTTGAATCACAGTCCCTCCCCGCCGTCCAAAGATAATATGCTAAGTGGTTAGCATTTTGGCAGATCACCTACTGCACTTTTAACTGGTGATAGCAGCATCAACGGACTATTGCACATAGTTTTAGATTCATTAGATAATTGTTTCAAATGTGATTTGTTTTTTTAATGAACGTTTTGTTGATTTAAAAAAATTATGTATGCAGCTATATTTTGTTTGTTTTGACACGTTATTTAAAATTTGTGGCAAATAATTCATTTATTTGGTGTGTCCAAAGAAAAAAAAAATGGACAAATCTTTTGTATTGAGCCCTGAAAAGTCATGTGAAATAAAACTAACTTCGATGTAACACTATGAGAATTCTCGACTAACAAATTTTAAGCAAGATTTAACTACTTGTACATTAACGTAGCATTCAGAAAAAAACAAAACAGCCACAAAGATACTCGATACAGAGGAACATGCCATAACTTATTGCTAGTGTTTCGGAAGTGTTATTGCAGAGCTACACACTCTGCACGCAAAGGTATAAATGCAGGGCTACTGCAGGGCATGCGCTGTGGGTCACTTCGATTGCTCGAAGCAGAAGTACAAACCAGCCTTCAGTGTTAAGGCCTGAAAAAGGATTGGAAATAAAAACAAATTGCAATGCGACGTTATGAAAAATACTTGACTATTATTCCTTTGCTGTGCATCGTCTCACTATTTTTAATATTTGTCTCACACAGGTGATCAAGACTGGGGTCGAGACCACCTGTAAGTGCCACGGCGTTTCGGGCTCATGCACCGTGCAGACGTGCTGGAGGCAGCTGGCGCCCTTCCACGAAATTGGCAAGCAGCTCAAACAGCGCTACGAGACGTCGGTCAAGGTGGCCAGCTCCACCAACGAGGCCACCGGGGAGGGCGAGATCTCCCAGAGTCGCTCCCAGAGCCAGCAGCCCCCCCAGCCGGACATCCCCCGCACCCCAGATCTGCTACACATCGAGGACTCGCCCAGCTTCTGCAGGCCGAGCAAATATTCGGCGGGCACGTTGGCTCGTAAATGCTACAAGGACAAGAACTGCGAGGCCATCTGCTGTGGCAGGGGACACAACACCCAGAGCCGGGTGGTGACCAGACCGTGCCAGTGCCAGGTGCGCTGGTGCTGCTATGTCGAATGCAAACAGTGCACACAAAAAGAAGAGGTTTACACCTGTAAGGGGTAAAAAAAAAAACAACGCATCGTGACCGTGCAGAATATCTCTCAGCAATGAAAGAGCGCAAAGCAAAAAGAGAGAAGAAGTGCTGGTTTGAGGGAAAGGTCTCAAAGGCGTCAAACTAGTTAACACAGATGAAAGCACTTTTTTTTTGCGGTGGGAAAGCTGTATAATATACAGTAGCAAACCTAGGGGATTGGTCTACGGCTTTTTTTGAGAGACGTTTTTATTTCATCGGCCAAGACATACGTCGACAATGAAGTCCGGTCTTGGATGGACGATTGTTGACAGGCTCCGAGTTATTGCTTGACAAGTTTGTTTAATGGGGTATGTGTTTGTATGTGATTTAATTCCGAACGAATTAAAGGCTCATTCACACTACTATCGACTTGTAGCTGCGTTTCGCTCGGTGTGCGCCGATTGAAGTCGCTAGTGGGCGTTCCCAAACTTGAGAGTGCTAAGGTAACGTTTATGATGATGTTCATTGACAGCAAATTTTGTGAGTTTTCTTGCTGCTGAAATTGAACATTGTGCAGGTAAAACACTAAATATAAATGGAAGCAGTATATAAAATGCTTAATTGCTAAGATCACTCAGAAAAAAAAACGTGTCGTTGCGGCTTTTTATTGGCGATTAACACTAAAACTTGAGGCAGCTAAGGTAACGTTTAATATGATGTTCACTGACCGCAAATTTGTTTTCTTGCTGCTTAAATTGAACATTGTGCAGGTAAAACAGTCAATTTAAATGAAATCAGTACGCAAAATGCTTAATTGCAAAGATGACTGCGAAAAAAACGTGTCGGTGCGGCTTTTTATTGACGATAAACACCAAAACTTGAGGCAGCTAAGGTAACGTTTATGCTGATGTTCACTGACCGCAAATTCGTTTTCTTGCCGCTGAAATTGAACATTGTGCAGGTAAAACAGTCAATTTAAACGAAATCAGAACGCAAAATGCTTAATTGCAAAGATGACTTCGAAAAAAACGTGTCGGTGCGGCTTTTTAGGGAAACATTTAATTTAGAGAGGGACCAAATCTAAACCAGGGGTGCCCAAACTCAATCCTGGAGGGCTGGTGTCCTGCAAAGCTTAGTTCCAACCCCAATTAAACACACCTGAACCAGCTAATCAAGCTCATTCTAGGTAGAAACTCACACAGGTGTGTTGAAGGAAGTTGGAGCTAAACTAAGCAGGACACCGGCCCTCCAGGACCGAGTTTGGGCACCCCTCATCTGAACTAAGTGCATTTTACTACCGAAATATTCAAGTGAGATGAAAAACATCCCATGGGTAAACGAGAGCAAGTGACGTGGTGCTTTGCATTTGGTTTGAACAGCAAAACGTTGATGTATTTTTAACTTTGTTGCGCCCACATCCATTCGTTAATGGTCACTTATGTAACTGGAGATAACCTGAAGTTTCTGTCTCTTCCACTGAAATGAATGGTCAATCGTCGCTGCATGTTGCTGGCAGTGTGAATGGGGCTTAAAATCCAGGAGGAATTTGCAATTACAACATGCTGTCAGATTTATTCTGCATGCACATATATTCTACGTCCACGCAAGACTGTGTATGCATATGTAAATAGATTTACAGACATTATAAGTCGATTATATACACCACTTATCTAAGTATGCTAAATAACCACTAACCACACAGACCATACTGTTTGTGTGCTTGCATTCACTTTGTGTTGTAATTCTCTTCGACAAGGCCCTTAGGAAAGCAATACCTTTTTTTTTGTTTTTGGATATAATTTATGGAACATCTCAAGGAATAGTCCTTGCGAGGAACGAATTGGATCTACTTTTCCTTCCTTTTTATGTTGTTTCTTGACAGTGGAACTCTTTTGCCAGCCTATTTAAGATTTATCTCAGCCTTAAATGAACTCTACAAATGACTGTTCAGGGAGCGAGTGAAACCACTATGTGCCATTTGGATGGTAAAGAAATCCTAGAGATATCACAAAGAGCATTAGTCTCTCCATGATTCAGGCTTGCGCATGACGACAGATCTGTCCATCCTCTTTTAAAGCTGCTGATTCATTGCTAAAATCGACGCAGCAGTGCTTTTCAGGACAATGCTGGTTAATATATGAAATACGCCATGGTTTACAATTCTTCACAAGCAGCTGGAAGGTGAACAATCGAGAATAAACCATCCAGCAATCTGAAAAGAGCTTTACAGGAACTTCTCTTTTACTTTTAAGTGACTTTAACTTTATCAAATTCATTTCCATGTAGAGACTGTTTCAAAATAACCGGTTGGTAACACTTTATATCTGGGGTCACCAATCTCATTCCTGGAGGGCCGGTGTCCCTGCAGGGTTTAGCTCCAACTTGCCTCAACAAACCTGCCTGGGTGTTCCAAGTATACCTAGTAAGACCTTGATTAGCTTGTTCAGGTGTGTTTGATTAGGGTTGGAGCTAAAATCTGCAGGACACCGGACCTCCAGGAACGAGATTGGTGATCCCTGCTTTATAATAACTACACATTATGAATTATCGAATTCATGAATTGCTCATTACTAAATTCAGTATTGCATTATTTATAAACCATTTGTATTTTAGAGTAGTTGGTGGCTTTTAGAATCATTCAGAACGAGTAAGTACCCTGCTGAAAAAAACAGCTTAAACCAGCCTAGGCTGGTTGGCTGGTTTTAGCTGGTTGACCAGCCTGGTTTTAGAGGGGTTTTGGTCACTTCTAGGCTGGTCAGGCTGGTAGATGACCAGCTAAGATCAGCTTGACCAGCCTAGCCAGGCTGAGAGCCAAGCCAAAACCAGCTATGTCCAGCTTAAACCAGGCTGGTCAAGCTGGTTTTAGCTGGATTTAGCTGGTCATTTTCCAGCCTGACCAAGGCTAAGATCAGGCTGGAAATGGCTGGAAACCAGCATGAGTAAATGGATGGAGTTTTGACTTAAAGCATTTATTAACATACAAACTAACTATTAGTATATGACTGAATAATAAGATACATGAATGTTAATTTGAATAGTTTATTAATCATTTACTTATGCATTCTGAATGATCTTAAAATAGCACCAACTACTCTTAAATAACTGGTTTGTAAATACTGCAACACCTAATTAAGTAATAACAAAAAGCATTAACAAAGTATGAAAATACAATCAATATATATCTGCTTATGTCAAGATTACAGCATTTATAGCTGCAGTTATAAACTGCTTACTAACTTTGGTAATGTAGAGGTTATACTTAAGACAATGAATTAAAGATTTGCTAATACCTAATAAATAATTTATAGTGAGTAGTTATTATAAAGTGTTACTGTTTTTTTAGATCGAGTGCGTATCGTGTACTGCTTGACTATGGTTTTATTCATGTATCACGGTAAACTTGTTAGAAATATTTTGCCGAATATCCACATTAGACAATCGCCTGTGCTTGTTAATTAGGTTGCTCTTAAATAACTGAATCAACAAATCCATTCACAGTCATGGAGAGGCTGAACACAGTGTATTTTTATGTCTATATGGATGCAGAATTCCGTATATCTGTGTAAAATTTAACACTGAAATTCCATATATTTTTTGAAAATTATTTAACATAACAGCTGGAAAGGAGAATGCCGCTGTGTGACCAAATGACAGGGTCTAAGTTTCTGATCCAGACCGATCTCATGAGGAAACGTAACTGTTTTACGTTTTGTCAGTTTAGTGGCTAATTTAGATGTATGAAAATTTACGTTTTTTAAAAGAAGGCGTGGCACCAAACCTTACCCCTAAACCCAAGTGAAGAGCTACGCCCCATTCACACGGGGCTTCAGCGTCAACGTTTGATTGAAGGCGTGTCTGAAGTTGGGGCTGAAGCAATCGTCATAGAAGCGTCAGCCAATGAAATTCAGTCAGCAGTAGGCCACTGTCTAGCTGGTGTATTTGCATACAGTGATCTGATTGGCTGACGCTTCCGTCGGCGCTTGAAAAGTTGAGCTAGTCCCAATTTCTACAGCGAGCAACGCCTCTGAAGTAGCGTTGACAGATCCGCAATGCAGTTCAGTAACGCTTAACATCACCCATTAAAAGTGAACGGGAAGCGTTGACGCTGACACCCTGTGTGAATGGGGCGTTACAAACTCAAGCCACGATCACACTGGACTTTTCTCCCCATTCGAATGCGTCAGACGGCAAACGCAAACTTGTGCGACAAGTTTGATGCGTTGCAAAGTTCAAGCTTGGTGAACTCTAACCTGTGAAATCACATCACCTGACTGCGTGAGACCAATAGAAGATCAAAACATGACCTCATGGACAGGAATTTAAAATATGAACCAATCGCTCACTTTTTAAAATGAGTGATCATTAAGTTTAATTCCACCTCTTCTCGCAGCGCCGCACAACAGAATTCCGCTTGCTCAAACTCTAGTGATTGCCTTATAATTTCGAGAGGAGCAGATAATATGATTGATCGTGGCTGGTCCCTCATCCGTAATCAATAATAATCCAAGCAGGCACACAACATCATAAGACATTAATATTAGGTTAGATTTAGTTCAGGTGACCAAAATTCAATATCTAGCCAGCATCTAAGGATGTTATTTTAATGTCCAATAACGCCATCAAATTACGTTGATATTTGGTTGACTTTGGGTTGTGTTGGAAAGTGACCAAAATCCAACATCTGATAGATGTCATAATGGTAACATCCACACAGCGTCAAGGTGTAACATGATTAGACGTTGATATTTGGTTGATTTTAGGTTGGACATTGACATCGGCATGACGTTGGGTTCTGCTATCAACATGATTTTCATTTCAAAACAAAATCCAACGTCCTTACGACATTGGGGTATACGAGGCCATTATGACCTCAGGTTGACGTCCTGTGCCTGCAGGGTTGATTTTGGAAGAATCCCCCCTTCCACCCCATCTCCCCCTTTTCCTTCTTTATCAGGGGGGAGTTCTCGAGACCTACTTGATCTCGGACCCCCGTACATGCTAATTGACTAGATGGGAGCACTAAGCTAAATTGTCTTCAAGCTCAGGGTTCTCTCCCAGG